GCGCTGCCATTTATTTGTAGAAACATTTTTGAACAAATAAATATCGTTACATATACATATATAACATATAAATAAACTCTTACGTCTGAATATCAAATAATATGATCATTATTCGATCAAAAGGTAAACTACTTTTATGTCAAACAATTTAACAGGTTTTATGTAAAAGCTGTCACATCACCGGTATAAAAATGTCCACTACCCCATATCGTTCTGTGGGTCAATACAATAGTTGATGGGCAGCAACATCTTCCTGATAACAACCGGATTTTATCGCGTATACCCGCGCCACCCCACGTAACCATGGGTGCTGTAAAGTGCTCGCAACGTCGAGAATATAAAATAAGTCAAAAATCCGTAAAACTAGTTATATTTGAATGTGTACTTCTTGTTCGCATAAACATTTTTCTGCCCTTTCTGGTAAGTAGCGCGATGACATTCACTTCGAATTTACTCCCGACTTTTTACAGTGTAAACATATTTTTGTAGTAACTCAACCACAACGCCACCTACCGCGTCTAGTTTTTGTGATTTTCCTCTTTGGCACTTACCAATATATTGTGAACCTCGCTTTGGGTTTACATCTACTAAAGTGGGGAAATTTTTTTTTTTAATAATCATCATCACAGGCTTTCGTTAAATCAGTTTATCAATTTCAGAAAAAAATCCATTTTTTTGTTAAAATATAGCATAAAGCCGGTTCGTAAGGTTTTATCACAATCAGTTCAGCCATACCGGATATTAGCTTGGACAGACAGACAGACAGACAGGCAGACAATTTTTTTACAGATTGTTATTCATATTCTTATGGCATATAAATAACCCTCCAGCTCAATATAAGACAGCTATTTCGATATTATAGACAAACACGTAATTTTTTGTTCATTCATTCATTCATTACAGCCCTTCACAAGTCCACTGCTGAACATAGGCCTCCCCCATGGAATGCCATAAAGCATGGTCCTGAGCCCCCTGCATCCATCGACTTCCTGCACGTCTTACCAGGTAGGCACTCCAGAACGGTACGAGGCCGCCACTTGAGAACCTTTTTTCCCCATCGGTTGTCGGTTCTTAGAGCTATATGGCTGGCCCATTGTCACTTCAGCTTACTAATCCATTGGGCTGTGTCGGTCACTTTGGTTCTACTGCGGATATCCTCATTTCTAAGTTTATCACGCAGAGAAACTCCGAGCATAACCCTCTCCATAGCTCGCTGAGCGACCTTGAGCTTCCTTATCCGGCCAGCAGGGAACGACTACATCTAAGTTCCATAGGTCGTCACTGGCAACACGCACTGGTTTTTTATCTGTGACTTTTTATATAGTATTAGGGTGACAAACGACAACACATTCCACCCGCTGGCAAGTGGTTGCTGTGGCACATAGATATTTATAATTTTATTCGATTACGAATCAAAATGCAGATGCGTTGTCACCCCTGAGGACTAAGGTTCTTTACACTCGTCATGCGGAACAGCAGCGTTTAGCTGCTAATTTACGCCGGTATTCTTTGAGAGCGTGGGCCTTCCCCGGCCGAGCCGACCGACATGATACAACTACTAACATAGCTGCAGCATGGCTCTACGCTTAAATAAATACTTATATGATTTTCAACGTTTTCCTTACTTACAATAGCGTTACATGTTTTTGTCCCAACATAGTTTGTATCGATTAGAATAGAATATTTTTCATTCAATATTGATTATAACATAATACTTATTGAAAATACCTCTGTCCTGGGAAGAACCACCATAGAAACCCAGCGGGACTTTTTTTAAACATATTTTACTTTACAATAATTGTTAGTAGAACCAGCACGGTGAAGATCACCTCATTCCCAGGGTTTTTCATTTATGTATTGTTTGATATTATAATAACCCTTTTTGTACAATTTTTCTTTAATAAAAATTTAAATTTGTTTATTGACAAATTTTGTACATTTTCAGGGATTTTATTGTATAAGCGTATACATTTCCCTTTCAATGAATTAGTAATTTTGTGGAGTCTAGTAACTGTTATTACAAGCTTATGTTTGTTCCTAGTATTTAAAGTATGAACATCTTTATTATTATCAAAACTGTTTATGTTTTTATGTACATATATTACATTTTCATAAATATATTGTGATGCCAGAGTTAATATGCTTATTTCTTTAAATTTTTCTCTAAGGGACTCATTACAATTTAAGTTATAATTCGCCCGTACGACTCTCTTTTTCAAAACAAATATAGCTAACTGTAATAGTTGCATTAACCTATAGCAAAATTCCATAAGACATAACGCTATGAAAATAACTAAAATAGCTAAACTAATCTAGCTGTCTCAATATTGGTGAGCTTTCTAATCTTTCTTACAGCATATGCTATAGAACTAAGTCTGCTTGATATTTTAGATATATGGGGGCCCCATTGAAGCTTCGCATCAATAGTAATACCAAGAAAAACAGTGGTATCCACAAGACTCAACTCCTTCCCATTTAAGAGCACATTGGTATTTGAATGTTTACCATTAGGTATTGTTAATTTAATACGTTTTGTCTTATTGGCCTTTAAGAGCAAATTGTTGGCGTTAAACCAATGTGGTAGTTTCGTTAGAGCACTATTTACATTATCGAAATTAATTGACTGTCGTTTGAGTTTTAAAATTGAAGAGCTATCATCAGCAAATAATACTATATCGTGATTGTCCCCTACAACATAAGGTAAGTCATTAATATAGACTAAAAAAAGGAATGGGCCAAGAATTAAGCCCTGAGGAATGTCCATTGATACTTTTGATCCGGAGGTACCTTTGCCATTGATAACGACTTTTTGATTTCTGTTATTTAAATATGAAATATAAGTCTAAGCGCAAAAATTTTTACACCGTAATGTTGTAGTTTCCTGATTAATATCTCATGATGAACACAATCGAAAGCCTTGAAAAGATCACAATAAATACTTAAGGCATCTTGTGAACGCTCCTGGGCATTAAAATTTATTTCATAAGCTCGACACTTGCGTCTATCATGACTATTATTCTTAGTTTAAAAGATGACAATGATTTAAATTTTAGCCTGTATAATGCCTAACACGGATGTTTTGGAATATAACATAAACACTCACGCCTGTCACCCAAAGTGATAGTCAGAGACTACGGACTTCCATTTGGCATGATCCCAACATATCTCTCTCACCTCCACATCCCCATATACCTACGAATATATGCTCGTCGGTTAAGGCTACGTTTAACTAACCATCCTCAATATATCGCCCATTTGGTTGATAAACTTCCATTTAGAGTATGCCTTGAACACTCTGTCATTCACTCTGCAACATGTATGTCACTCTTTCTTCCGTCATTCTATTCCTTTTATTTTCTGCTTTTGAAATAAATATTTAACTTATTATTTAATGCTTATTTAAATTAGAAGCTCCTATTTTTTACAATATAGCATTTTACTGGTAGGGCTCACAGCTGAAAAATACCAATTGACCTCAAAACTTGATAAAAATATCTGTCCGTAACCGTTTACAATTAGGTGGATTTTTTTTCTTCTTAAAAGTGATTACTACTTAATTTAAAGTTAAGTCGAAAATTAGAATTTTAAGCTTCACGCCTGTATTTGGGTGATTGCGTTTTAAAATAATGCCGAACTTCAGTGATCTGCGTAAAAAAACCTCTAAAAATGCCTGTGACACACAGTCAGATACCAAGATGATTCCATTTACCTTTTATCATTTTAACAGGAAATTCTAAAATAAACAAAATCAGTTGTTTATGACGGGAGATGTTGCGTAATACATGCAATTTAATGCCAAGTACATGATCTTCCAAACGTCCCTCCAAACGTTCGCTGAAATATTTTTTTTTTTGGAAATACCTACCTTCTACCTAATAGTGGTAGAGCCACGCGGCAGCTTTTGCTGTCGCACGGATGGGCCGGCTCGAACCGGGGTGGTACCACGACCTCACAGAATACCAGCGTGAAGTAGAGGTTTACATCTGCGTTTCGCTTGGTGAGTGCAGGTGGCTGGAGGCCCTTTTTACTGGTAATGAGGCATTCCATCTAAGTCCTCACGGGTGACAACGCATCTGCATTTTGATTCGCAAACGAGGATAGATGTAGATGTCTATGGGCCGCAGCAACCACTTACCACCAGGCGGACTGTGTGCTCGTTTGTCACCGTTATCCTATAAAAAAAAATTCCTCCTGTTCCATCTTCAGCAGCTTTCTCACACATCTTGAATCCCATCCGGCCTTTGATCATCCCTTGTCGGAAGAGAACAAGTCTTCACCCTATTTTTCTCTTCAGGCAAGTCGCTCTCCCCGGCGTTCCCACCACCTCGCCATGGTGTTTGATGTCTCGTCCACATTATATTGGCTTAAGCCGGTATATCATGCTTTTAAAATTTATTGGAAAATCCAAAACTGCACGCCTCATGAGCATTTCATTTAATTTTGATTTAAAAAAAATAAACTGTATTTCCGACTTTCAAAATATATTATTTACGTGTATTAAATTTAGCTCTTTATTATTTTAACAGATCGTTACTTACAGGGGAAAAAATTGACAATGTTTACCAAAATAAATAGATTACAAAAAGTTTAAAATCGATATAGGCTCTATGGTACATTTATAAAAAATTACGCCTTTACGAGCACTGCAAATTTCGGGAATCAAGGAAGTGACACAACATTACTATTTAAAAATGTATTTATTGCTTTTCGAAGTATTCTCCGCGAAATTTGACACATTTTTCCATACGATGGAACCAATCATTTAAGCAACCATTCCATTCGGAAGTTGGGGTCTCCAAAATGGCCGTTTTGTAGGAGTCCACAGCTTCTTCAGGTGATGAAAATCTCTGTCCACGCAATTTATTCTTTATTTTAGGGAAAGTATAGAAATCACTAGGGCTTAGGTCGGGGCTTTACGGTGGATGGTCTAATAATTCTATGTTTTCTTGGTCTAAAAACTCTTTTGTTCTGTGTGCGGTGTGAGAATCCGCATTGTCGTGATGGAGGATGATATGGCGGTTGCAGTTCTCTTTACGGAGTTCAGAAACGACCTGTGGCAAACAAATGCTAGCATACCATTCTGCATTAACCGTTCTTTGTCCCTCAAGAGGAATAGTCGTAACATGGCCGGTTTTGGAGACAAACGTCGCCACCATTTTTTTGCAACACTCCGTGCACGAACAATTTTTGTTGGCTTTAACTCATTTTCGAACACCCAAACTCGTGACTCGTTTTTTGTTTCGGGTTTGTACGCGTATATCCAGGATTCGTCATCTGATACGATGTTGTGTACAGCATTTGAGGATCCTGCGTGGAATCTTTCGAGAGTTCTGACGCACCAAGTAACGCGAACCGCTTTTTGCTCTTCACAGAGCGAATGCGGTATCCATCGGGAAAACAACTTTTTTACACCTAATTGTTCTTGCAAGATTATTTGTATTTGACTCATGCCAGTGACTAAAGTTGCCTGAATTTCGCGGTATGTCACATGTCGATCTTCCTCAATCAGCTTACGCACAGCATCAACGTTTTCTTGGGTGACTGCAGTTTTTGGACGACCTTGACGGGATCATCACTGAGCTTGACACGTCCATGTTGAAATTCAGCAAACCAGCGCTAAATTGTGGTTTTGTATGGGGCTTCATCACCAAATGCAGAAATCATCCGGTCTACACACTGTTTTTGTGTTAAACCACTTCGAAAGTCATAATAAATCATCGCTCTTGAATTTTCTCGAGTCAATTCCATTTTCTCAACAACTAAACAAGTTTGACAAGACCGAGAATCTTTTTTTTTAAATAAATAAATGGTATTCGATTTTTAAAACCAAGGAGTTTTCAATTAAAAAGATATTAATATGACAGGAACAGTGGAAATATTCCACTCCCGATACTTTTAGTGCAGCCTATGTATATGTTTAATAGCAATAAAACTTATAAAAGTAGAAAATCATTTTATTTACTATCTACGTATACTAGGCTATTGATATGAAGTAGGAAATCAGATGATTTAATTCTGAAGCTAATGAAAAAAACCCAGTCTCGATACGTCAACTGTTTTGGGAGTTATTGTGACCACATACAATATCAACATCCGGACGTTCACGTAAAATTTTTTGAAACTGTTTTTCTTTTGCAAAGTAGCAATATAAAATGATTTTTTAGAAAATATGAGGTAGATTAATTAGAGTATTTTCTTTATATACAGGTGCTCATATCGTATAAGTACAATGTGGATGGAGGCATTTTAAGAACTCTTACGTGGTAGAGCTATGCTGCAGCTATATTAGTAGTATAGTTGTAGCACGATTGGGTCGGCTCGACCGGGGTAATACCACGCTCTCACAGGAAAACAGCGTAAAATAGCAGCTTAACGCTGCTGTGTTTCGTATGGTGAGTGTAGAGAACCAGAGACCCTTTTTACTGGCAAAGAGGCATTCCATCTTAGTCCTCACGGGCGACAACGTATCTGCATCTTGAGTCTTTATTGAGGATAGATGTAGATGTCTATGGGTCACAGTAACCACTTACCATCAGGTGGACTGTGTGCTCGTTTGTCACCCTATCCTATAAAGAAAAAAAAAACACACAAAATTGCTTGACCTTATCGTGTCGAGAGTAAAACACACCTTTAACGCTTCGCGTTGTGAGGCATACAATACAATTAAAGTTAAAACTTACGCATCTTTCAAACGCTGTATGCTGTATGTACGCAAATGATTTATAGTACTCAGTCTTACTAATAACACTCAAATAGTTCTAAGTGTTGCTTAGAATTGCATGTTTCCAGATTACATTTTTTTATGAAAACGAGTGAAAAACTAAACTAAACTGAACTAAAAAAAGGAAAAACAGTAAAGGTGTGCTGAATCTAATGAGCAAAATTTGTCTCATTTCGTAAAGGTTTAGGGGTGTGACAAATTTCACTGTCCGAAACAATATTTCACAAAGGAAATGTAGGCAATTGCCTCCAAGACTTGCAACTCAATCGCACGTTAAGGTGATACATAGCGATCGGTATAAAACAGATAGCATTTTTGAAAATACCTACTTGCACCGCTTATTGGTAATTATTATTATTTTTATAAAGTATTCTTATAGAATAAGTGAGACTAACGACACCCTCATACTATAAGAATCACAGTCCATCTGACTAAGTAGATCATGTGGGCTGTGATCATGTGGTTTAAAAGTATAAATACGTCATACTTGCTCTAAAATAGCAATACGAAAGTCAGGTAATTGCCCGACTAGCATTCAGTCGGGCACGCTGTCGCGTCGTGGCTATACCTTCGCTACAGCGCGTAAATCTTCTAGTTATTTGTGGCAAAAATGCCTTCCTGTGTTTTTAGGTGGTGCACAAATTACACGGCAACTGTTAGAGACTAGAAAAATGTCTCATTAATATTTTAAATATAGATGTTCTGTTCATAATTGGTTTTATTATTTCAACACTAAGCGCTAGTGTAAACTTTGACGCTAGCTAGTGTGTTCATTTCCATATCGGTATGTCACGCGCTCGCGCCAATGAGTGCTCGGCAGCAATCAATATGCAACTAATGATGTATATTCATTTTTTTTAACGATAGGTTTGCCCAATCATTTGTATCTTTTTGTTAGCGCAACGTGTCATAATAAATAACTGTACGTAGATATAGTGCGATACCTGCGCCACTTTAAAATAGAATAATGTAGGTGTGTAACTTGTCTATCTTTTTAATACGTCTTTGGTGGCCCATTAGATATCTATCAATTCTCGATTAAGAATCGAATGCGTTGTCATTTCTAAGGACTAAGAGAAAAAGATTCATCTACACTTATCATACAAACACAGCACGCCGATTGGGTGAGAACGGGGTCTTTACTCGATCGAACCGAACCATTCGTGTTGAAACCATAATAAAGGCGCAACGTGGTTTTATCACGTTAAAATATACATTTTAATGGGATGTTTTATCGTATTTTAGGTTTAGATTTTTAACTTTATTTAATATGAATTATTTCAGAGCAGTGTGGACTCTATAAACTTGAGTTACTAATTCCGCTATATTATAATATAGTACTCGTAAATGTCTTAACATATTGGGTGTCCATATACTATAATTCAAATATATTTAAAACAATATTTTAAAGAAGGTTGAAGATTACCAAAGAAACCACAAACATTCCTCGAAATAATAGTGTTAATATGAAACAAATCTATATTTTGAACTGGGTAGAGCCACACTACAGCTATATTATAGTTGTAGCACGAATGAGTTGGCTCAATCAGAAAAGAATCACGCTCTTACAGAATACCACCGCAAAATAGCAGCTCAACGCTGCTGTGTTTCGTATGGTGAGTGTAGAGAACCGGAGACCCCTCTTACTGAAATCGAGGTATTCTATCTTAGTCCTCAGGGGTAACAACGCATCTGCATTTTGATTCCTAAAATTAAAAAAAATTTCTAAAGAGCAATTTGTTCTCTTAAAGCGTCGATAGACTTTCGATTCAATTTCCTTTGGAAGTCCGATAGCTTTCTGCACGCTTCTGTGCCTTGATTCGTTGTATTAAATACTTATAATTTATCGGAAGATTCCTTGATAATAAAACATTGGAAAAATATCTTGTCTGTTTTTTTTTTCTATATTTGTATATTATAAGGTACATTTTCTTTCATGTCGGAACTTCAACTGACGAATACAGGCTTCTCCTACAGTGGGTTAAGTGTCATACATTTTATTTAATAATTTATTATTATTAAATCATTTTTGCATATTACAATCATTCACATGTCCACTGCGGAACATAGCCCCCTCCCAAGGAATTACACAAAGCACGGTCCTGAGCCGCTTGCATCCATCGACATCATTCCACCAGGTCGTCAATCCATCAAGTGGGAGGCCCCCTTCTCTTCGCTTACCGGTACGAGACTGCCACTCTAGAACCTTTCTTCTCCATCATGAATTTTATTTTTACATTGTTCTTGTACTGTAAATATGTCCCAAGTGACATATTTTAAAACCTGGTTGCTTAAACGAAGGCGAGCGGAAATTGAATTCAAAATCCATCAACGTCTGACTTTATAGAAGAATATTTGACTTTAAACTTGCGAAATGTTGTTAGCAAAATCTGATTCAGATTCAAATGAGAAGGATTGATTGATTGTATTGTTGATGTTGAGGGTATTTTGCCATAATTGCCACGATAGGCAGGTTTACATTTTTTTATTATTTTCACTTGTAATAGATTGTTTCGTTTGATTTCCCACTCTCGCCTTTAGCTCTCAAATCATCGGAACATATAATAAAATCGTAAACAAACTTATTGTCTGTTTGTCTGCGCGTTTGTGTACACTAATTTCTACAATGGCAGAACCAATTCAAATTGGTTTTCATTGAGATAATAACCAAAAGGATATTTTTGTTTATTTTCACGTAGCGGAATTCTCTTTTTTTTTAAATAAGCGTACCAACATGAAACGAGCACACATTCTACCTGATGGTATGTGAATGCTGTGGCCCATAGATATCTACATTTGTTCTCGATTAAGAATCAAGATGCGTTGTCACCCCTGAGGACTAAGATGCCTCGTTTCAAGTAAAAAACGATCTCCGGTTGTCTACACTCACCATATAAAAGACAGCAGCATTAAGCTGCTAATTTACGCTGGTATTCTGTGAGATCGTGGTCCTACTCCGGTCGAGCCGACCCATTCGTACTACAACCGTACAAGAGCGGAGGCTAGGAAAATATAAAAAAGAAATAAGTGATTGCCTTATTCCGTGTGCCTTTGTTTCTTAGCCAAGTGAACACAAACGAATGTGATATTATACTCCCCATATTAAAGAAATATTTGTCCTTATAAATAGAACTTTGCTTTGAAATCAAAACTTTTCATTAAGAAAAAGCAATAGCCTTGTGACTTTAAAACAACAAAAGGTTTATATTTTATGCGTAAAAGTTAAGAAATGTATCCAAACATTACAGTTTATAAAAGTCAACCGCATAGGACTCCGACATAGATTGCCTCATAGGGGGAAACTTGCCATAGTTGCCACGCGTGGCAGGCTGGTTGGTAACCCCAGATTTTAATTATTTTGAGGTGTTATCTAGAAGATGCTGCAGCCCATCTCCTATTTTAGATTCCTCTGTAACCTCTTACGACAACCACGGGATGGATGATATGGCGTAGTGGATATTCTTACACCGCCACTACATTGCAATAGTTTAAAATTTAAATAAACTCGAATCTAACTGAGGGCATCAGATCTCTGATATTTCTCATCATCACACGTGACACCCACGGGACGTTATAGGGTGATGGTTTCTGTTACTCACAAAGCTAATTGGTGATAACTTT